TTAATAACAGCGTGGTCATTATCATACATTATCATAATTTCTTTGAATTTTGTACCAGCCTGGTTAGTTAGGTGCTGCTAGTATCATTGCCATTTATCTATATTGCAGATGTGGTTTAGAGAGGGTGAATAACTTCTCCAGTAGCATACAGCTTATGGGTGCAAAACAAGAGCCAAATAAAATCATGAAGTCAGGAATTGTAAGCTTATTGAAGGCAGAGAAAATGCAGAGGTGTATAGAGCTCCCCCTGTAAGTGACACAGAGTGAAATCTGTGCTGGATACAATGTGTAAAGTGAATATATAAGTTAAGTCCTAACAGTTAGCTTTGGTCTATGGATCCAATCTAATTGGCAGACTCGGTCTATGAATAAGCAAAAGGCAAAAAGGACTCCATGGTTTTTCCTTTTACAATATAGAAATGAGTAAGACTATTTGTGTTTTGTTTGTCTGGAGGTCAGACATAGAACTACAAAATTGTCCTTTTGATGTGTAACTGGTAACTTTCTCCAAAGTAATTAAAACATCTACTTATGATGTCTTCAGAATTGGAAAAGGAATTTAAGTTTTTCCAAGGACAGTAATATAAAAATCAAGGTATTGGTATCCCTAAGATATCACCCTTTAAAATACCTGATGGTTCAACCTAAATCATCAGTAATGAGTATGTTGATTTAATTTTATTCCTGATCCCAGTATACAAAGATATTGGAAATGTCCTAGCAAGACTGGAGGAAGATTTATGAGATTTAGTGGCCTGGGTAGGAAACTTATAAATTTCTGGACATAAAAGTAATTAATTTAAGTATTTCTTCTGAGTTCAATACCCATGTACTTAGGTCCCAGATAATTTAAGTTTCTCTATCCTTACCTCTTTTCACTGGGGAAACAGACTAAGTGGTGCTGCTGATGACTTAAGGGGCTAAACAGCTAAAGAGCACTCTGACAACAGCAGAGGGAGTGTAAGGAGAAAGGGAAAGTCTTTGTTGTCTGATTGAATCCAGAACACCACGTTCTTTTAATAGAGATCTAAAGGCAGAAGTAATGTTGCTCTCGGAAAGCTGGCATTGATTGTTTTTTTCTCTTCTTTACATGCCTAACTTGATATTGTCATGTCAAAACAGAGAACAGAACTTCAAACAGCAACTGTTTTCCTGCTTTTTCAACTTTATTCATCACTTCCTTCTCTCTCTGTATTAGTTACCTTGTACATCAAAACAGCTTCATTTCTCATAAACCTATGAGAAAAAAATTGGTGACACAAAGATTAATCCTCTTTCCAGGCCTTTTTTGGGGTGGGGGGGGCGGGATGAGGGACACAGGACTGCATTTCTGAGGAAGCATGCCAGATTTTGAGAATATTTGAGTTTAGTCCTTTTTCCTTGTATTATCTACCTTGCGGTCATATATTCAACTCTCAAACTGTGGTACCTGGAAACTTGTTAAAATGCAGATTCTTGGGCTCTCCCCCTACAGATTTCTGCTTCATGTTTTGAGAGACCATCAGGAATCTGCATTTTAAATAAACATTTCAGGTGAAGAAACACTGTCATCATTTCTTTTACTCATTTGGCATTTTCCAGTTTTCAAAAAACCCTATACATGCATATGCAGTACTGTGAAGTAGATGGGAATGAGGATAAACGTGAGACTCCAAGGTTAGCAATGATTTCCTGAAGGCCTCATCATACACCCTACTCTTGCCTAATTCTATACTCCCTCAGCTAAACCTTTTCATTCTGGTGTTTAACTGGAAAAGAGGCAGGAGCCCCCCCCCCAGCCATCCAGTATGATCTATGCAAGTCTTGGTTAAGATTTTGACAAGTCTTTAGCCAGGGGGTGGAAAATAATCTTACTTGAGGAATGTGAACATTTTTCAATCGACATTGTTACCAAATTGATTTTAAGGCATGTTCCTTGTTTCATTCAGATGCACTTTTGAGCATGTATTCAGGCTCATTTTGGAGAAGGGTGGTGTGTGTGTTCTTTTTCACCTGTCTCCTTGTGTATTGTTAGAATCCCCGAATGAATCCACTGTCCTCCTTCGACCCCAGGAAACTGCTGCAGAGGGTGCATAGTCCCCATTGACATCTAGGATCCGCCTTTCTTCAGGGTGTTTAGCCTGTTAATCCTCATCCCAGCTGGCTGTCCCATGAACTATTACTCTGCCAGCCTTTGCTTTGCCCAGCTGGCATTGCATCCTGGACGTCCAGGCCCCAAGGCCGAGTAGGGTTGTTAGACTCAATACTTGCTCTAAACAACCTCATAGATATTAATCTCTCTCATCGCCCAAGTGAATCTCAGCTGGTTCTACATCTAGAGAGCTCCTGGGGTTCCTCTGGGTCTTAACATCCATTTTCTGTGGCTTCCAGGGCCTGCATTGTCCTTGTCCTTCATTAGGATGTTTCCAACATACACCTGTTTGTGCTCAGAAATCATACATTTAATCTTTTTGCCTAGATGCCTAGTGAAGTGAGACAGATTAGGGATATTTGGAGATATTGAGGAGAAATTATAACTAAAAGCCACTTCTAGACTTTAACAGGACTGGGAGGTCCTTCATGCTCCGTTTTAGCTTGTGGGACTACTCTGTTAAGTTTCTTAAACATCAGCTATCATCCAAGCCCTCCTGGACCTGACTGCACGCCAAGGCGTGTTGTTGACTGCCTTTGCACACGTCACTTCCTCGCCCCACCTCCATTCATCCTCTGTGTAGGTTGCTCACTTGGTCCCTCTTTTTAGGGACCGTGACTGTTTTGCAGCTTTCTAGACAGAACCAAGAAATGTGGGTCCTAAGGAGGAGGAAACACCTTTTCCTGTTTCAAAATGAACTGAAGGTGGAGACCATCATGAGGGCCAAAGAGGCCATTGTTACTTTCTCCAGTGTCCACGTCCTTCCTACACAGAGAATTTTACGTGCTGCTCGACCTTACTGCATTCTCTCAGTCCCTCCTCCCCCAACCCCTTCATTGTGCACCTGGGGTCTTTCAACCTGCCCACGGGTGTTTTTCGTGTGGGAGGGACAGGGCAGAGCAGACCCTAGCTGCAGTTCCCTCACTCTGCCTCTTGAGAATTTCTCATCCAAACCTCAATCACGTAGGATTGCGTAGAGAGGAGAAAAGGGGAGAGACAGAAGACAGAGGGGGGAGAGGAGTGACAGGAGAGAGGAAGGAAAGAAGGAGTCTGGGAGCAGAGGGCGCGAGTAAGGGAGCTAGACCTGAGCGCGCCGCGCTTCTCTGCGCCCCGAGAGCCTGGCGCCTCTCTCGGCCCCACCTGGCCGCTCTTCCGCGGGTCGGCGAGCGGTGCGGGGGAACCGCGGTTGCCGCCGGCTCTCCGTCCCACCCGCCGTCGCGGTGGCTCTGGCCCAGCCTGGAGTTTCCTGCGGAGCTGGCACTCCAGCCGAGAGAGCCGGCGGGGCGGCGGCGGCTCCCCGGGGCCGGTGCGGTTCCGCGCGCCCCGAGCCTCGGCCCGTGAATGGGACTCCGCCCTGAGCGCCCCCTCGCGGGCGCGGGGAGGCGGCGGCGCGGCGTCCGGGGGCGCCCGGCAAGCCCGCGGCTCTGAGCGCCCACCCGCGCAGCAAGTTGGGCGAGTTGGCGGCCGCCCGCACCTGCCTCCTGGCCCTGGTCCCACAGTCCGCGTTTGGCCCCTAGGGCCCGGGTTGCGCGCGCTGCCGTCTTCCGCTGTCGTCCTGGGGGCCTAGGGGGCCCGCCTGCGCCCCCGGCGCCAGACCATGGTGGGCAGCTCCGGCCGGGAGCCGCAGCCACCGCGAGTCGACGTCGCCCGCAGCCAACCCCCGCCCAACCCGAGCGGACGCGCGGGTGTTCGCAGCGCGCGGGTCATTTCCTTCCTCCGCCGCGATGGGCGGCGCGGGACTGAGTGATCGGCCTTGCGTCCGGCGGGTAATCCCCATCTGATCTGCTGCCTGGGAGCTGCCGACTGCCGGGGCGCGCGAGCCTGGGGAGCCCGGGCAGCGCGGCGATGACCTGATCCGGAGCCCGCCAGGGTGCCCCCTCCTTCCCGCCCTCCCTCCCTCGCTCCCTCGGAGCCTGTGCGGAGACCGGCTCGGTGCGGCGGCCCCGGGCGGACCATGGCGGGGAGCTCCAGCTAAAGGCGTGTGGGCGCCGAGCTGGAGAGGACACCTTCGGCATCGCTGCCTTTTGAGGGGGCTTATTTAAACTACTGAGTCATTCCAGATTTAGGATTCCCTAAATAATCACCAGCTGTGCCCGTCTCGTGCCGGAAAGCAAGCGGAAAGAGAAAGAGCGCCCGCTCTCGGGACCCCGCAGATCGGCTCGCGCGGGTTCCTCCCCGAGGGGTGCTTGGCCCTCGAGGATCTCCCTCCCTCCCTCCTTCCCTTCCCCCTCCTTCGCCTCCCGCTCTCTTTGCAGTGCTGCTGGCCAGAAGTCGCGCTCACCGCCCGGGAAACATCTGGCTGCACCCCGCGCCCCTACCCAGACTCCGGTAACCCCTCCCACTTCGCGCCTCTCGGAATTCCAGAAGTCGGGGGGCTGGTCGCTGGAAAGCCGCAGCCGGTGCGATGCATTCCGTAGACCTCACCCAGCCCGGACGGACCTCTTAATCTCCAGAACTGCGGGCCGCAGGGAGTTAAATTGCTGCCTTCCTTTCCTCTCTCGCGGTTGGTGGCTTGTTTTCTAAAGGAACGTTTTATTCACTTTTTAGTATTTTCGACCGGGGTAGCACTGCCCGCCTCGGTCCGGACTCTGCTTTGTAAACGGGTTTTCTATGTATGTATGTGTAGGTATACTTGGGACATCTCACAACGCTTGCGCCTCTCCAGCAGGGGCACGGCTTGTTATTTTGGACAGCCTTCTTTGCCTTCCACTTGGTACCCCGAACGCAGTGTGACTAAACTCCCCACTGCCCCTTGGACGCGGATCGCTTTGGGGTGCAAGTTTGGGGAGCAAACGTCTACTTCGCAGGAAGGCCTGGGACCGCCCCGCCCTCGCTGCCAGAGGTTGGGCAAGTTTACATCTGGATTTGCACACATTTTGTCGCCACTGCCCAGACTTTGACTAACCTTGTGGGCGCTGGGCTTTCGGTACTGCAGCCTCCTCAAATATTATTAGCACTGCCTCCCCGCGCCTGTCCTGTCCCTCCTGGCCGCCGAGGTCCTGCCCTCGCCCCGGCGGAGCACGACCCGAGGGCACAGGAGAGCCTGGGGCCTGGGGCCCGCGCTGAGCAGCTATGGCTGCGGCGATAGCCAGCTCCTTGATCCGCCAGAAGCGGCAGGCGAGGGAGTCCAACAGCGACCGGGTGTCGGCCTCCAAGCGCCGCTCCAGCCCTAGCAAAGACGGGCGCTCCCTGTGCGAGAGGCACGTCCTCGGGGTGTTCAGCAAAGTGCGCTTCTGCAGCGGCCGCAAGAGGCCGGTGAGGAGGAGACCAGGTCAGTAGAAGCCCGGAGAGTGGGCCTCCGGAGGGCGACACCCCTTCAGCCCCTTCCTCAGAGTACCTGAGGGCGCCAGTGGAAGGGACCCAGGACCCCTCTCTTCCATTCTGGCCCCTCTTCTCTCCTTTTCAGGCGTCTGTCAACCACCCTAGGAGTTAAGAGCTTCTTGTCTCCTTTTCAGGAAAACACTGCTTTGTTCAGTCTGGGCTCTGACTAGGACAGGAGTTGCACGTATAGATACACATAGTTCAAAATAGCCTGTAGAGTCCTTGAGGACAGTGGCCACCTCACGCTTTCCTTCGGTCATTCATTGATTTTCTCCTTCTCCCATTCATCCGTCTGTAGTGTGAGAGTAGGCATACTGCCCACTGAGGACCTAGAGATAGATAAAGCTCTCCCTGTAATCTGGGATAGACACTTAGAAGACACCAGGTGAACTTAAATTTGTTCTCTTTTAACTCTTCCTCCAGCAACACATGGTATTGCATCTATCAGACATCCCAATTTCCCACTTCTCCATTTTCCCACATGCCTTTTATCTCAATCTGTTCCTTTTCTAGTTTTTTCCTTCCATCCATTCTCATGGTTTCCACGGAGCCTCCCTCATTAACTTTTCTGTCCTATTACCATTCTCTGCACACTGAGGCTTAGTACTTTTGGAACATTTAGGGAACAAGATAGTTTCCACAGCTCGGCCTCAGGGGGTATAAAGAAAACTGAAGACTCATTTGAGATTTTCATGGCTTGGCCTTTCTGAAGCTAATTCTCTACTGAGGGCTTAAACTCAAATGATGGCTTTCTGATATGTCTATTTACAAAAGGAAATTGGATACTTTGAGTTTCTGTGTGATGCCTCCCAGCTCCAGCCAGGCCAGTGTTCCAGCTTCAGAGAAGGAAAACAAAATTGATAAAACATCAGTGCTTCACTTCCATCAGACTGTTGATCCTCTGGGGTGTGGGATCAGGGTTATTTGCAATCTGCAGATCCTGGACCCTGATTGTGGACAAGTGAAAGGAAACTGTTATCTAGAGGGGAAGCCTGCTCTGTGCAAACTAGTGACTAGTGCAAACTAGTTGACTAGTTGGCCTGTTTGCACCTCTGTCTGTTCTTTTGGTTTCCAGAAAGGAGGCATGTTGGCTAGGTTCATTGGGTTAAGGAAAACAGTTGAGAAGTCTGGGCAAATGGGGTACAGAATTAATTAGCTTAGAAACTGGGATTAAGCCTTAGAAGAAACCATCCCATTTCATTTTCCTTTGGGTTGTCATGACATTGTCCACTTCCTTCTAGGTTCATTCTGTTATTCCGTGATGATGAATAAAGTAATAGATTGCAGGAGTAAACAAAAATATTATGATCTTACAGTGAGCTGCGAAAGTCTCTGCTGTTCTATACCCAGTTAACATAGATAGCCTGTTTATCTTATAGAAGTGAAGATTTATGCAAAAACTAGAACCGTCCCTGAAAAATAAGTAATTCCTATTGGGAGAAAATAAAGTCACCTGTTTTGTTCTACAGGGGTCATTTGGAGGCCTTCTCTTAGGGTCTATGTCGTCTACTACCTCACTTGATCTTAGCCAAAAGGCTGAGAAACGATTATGTAGTCTACTACTTAAAGGCTCTGATCTCAATATGACACTCTCATCTCAATCTCTGAAGTATGTTCTTGCGTGCTGCTTGGGATAATTATAGGAAGTTTTTGAGTTAATCCTGCTCAACCCCTCAGCTAAATAGAAAGTAATAGGAATGATGGATGGATTATATTTGTGAATGGGTGAGATAAAGTCATCTGATCTTGGTGGATTCGGAGATGAGCAATGGCTTAGTTTTGCATGGCTTAATTTGCATGACTTAATTTTGCATGGGAAGGAAGGACTGCAGTGGTTGCTTCCTGTGGCCCTTTCCTTAGTATTTCATTAGAAAACAGAGAATTAGAGAGGATTTCAGAGTTTATTGTTTTCTTCAGTGCTCATGTAACATGCTTCTCCTTTTCATCTACTTAGTGTTCGTCTCAGCACAGAGGATCCTGATTGGTGACTTCCTTTAGCTAAAAGTGTCACGGTGACAATCAGGCAGAGAGAGATGGCAAGACCTGTTCAAACATTCCCAGTGCAAGGGCACCATGCGTGTGTTTGGACACCACAAACTTCAGTTTGTTCTGAAGCTCAGTTTATAGAATGGGAGTGTGGTGTGTGGAAAAGCTTTTCGGGAAGACGATCGTGTGCTATTATCCTCACTAACAAAGCCAAATAATTAATCTGTTGATTTGCTGTCAGCAACCATGATTCACATAGCATGGGATGAGCCTATTTATAGAGAGATAGCACCTTCCACATTTCAATTTCAGAGAGGATTCTTTAGCTGGATTCTTTGGCAGGAAGTTGCTACACACCCAGAAGAAAAACTATGTGAGGGAGTCTGTTTGATAAGCACCTTGATGTTGTGTTCACCTGATATTTGAGGTGTTCTTGAAATCAGAAGCCTTGCTAAGCCATATCATCGTGAACCGCCACCTGAGTCACCAATGGTGAAGTGGTGAAATGGAATAATTTATCCTGATAAAGAATCACTGCCCTGAAACGCAGGTTTCATTGAACAGACTTTCTAGGAGAGTGAGTCAGTGAGGCTAAGCCAAGTATTAGATGGGAAAAGCCATGGTAGTATTTCTGATGTCGGGGCTCACACACTCAGTATCGCTCCTTTTTTCTTAGTTCACCAACCTGGTGTATATACTATTGAAACCTTATAAAGACAGTGGGGATCCCGAAGTTATGGCGAAGGGCTCAGATTTTAAAATTGCCATAAAACAGAATGGAAACATGGGAAGTGGCAGGCCAGGATCTCACATCACACAGCTCCAGGGTCACCATACACACGGGATGCTTTGTGAACGCTACCCCTGCAGCACGATGCGATGGCTCTCCCTGGGATCATACTGGAAAATACTTACCTTTATAGATGAGAAATCTTAAAGCCATAGCAAGTGTGTGGTTTATCTAAGGTTACACAGCTAGCTTGTGACAAAATTGGGACTAGAACTAGATTTTTTGTTTTGTGCCTGTCTTCTTTGCAACACAACACAGAAAAAAGTAGTGTGAAGAAGAACTGGATGTCTCCTGTCAAAAGATGGAGTTGTATGTGTGTAGATGTATATCAGGAATTAGTGTTGTCATTATTAACAGTATTTTATAATTCTAACAGGGGTAGGGTAAAGTAGAAGTAACTTGGAGAAGATGGCATAGGGTAAGAAAGGCAATTTGAGTTCAGAAGCAACCCCCTCATACAGCTGAGATGCATTATTGAAGACCTATAGCTAGCACAGGAATAGTTAGTACTTCAGGCCTGTGTGGGCTGTAGGTAGCTCTTTCCGTATGAAATGTTGGAGGCCCTGACTGGCAAGTTGAGTGAGGGCATTGAAACACAGTTAAGACTTTAGAACATTTCTGTTTGTGTACTTTCTAATAAAGAAAAGAGCATTCTCAAGGTTGTTATTTGAGTCACTATTTGTGCATGAAATGCCTGTATGAGCCATAGAATATTTGCTTAAATGCTGATGCCATGTAAGTTGCTGTGTCTAGGCCGCAAGTGCAGCCATATGAATTACACGGCTTATTCATGTCCAACGTTTGCTTTATTTTGAATAAAAACACTTGGACAAATGTTTGACTCTAAAATGATGTATTATTTAAACTCAGAAGTTACTGTAGGTAAGGGATGGCATTCATAATCAAGAAGAGAAATGTGTTTATAGGGTTTCTGAATGTCTGAGCAGCCACAAACCTTGGAGGTCATCCAGAATCAACCTTTCATTTTTCAAAGGGAGCCTCTTTGGAAAGGGCAGAGGAACTAGATGAGCTTAAACCTAGGTATTTTAAGTGATTTGGTGTTTTTATTAGTTTACTATATAACTTAGTTCTTTCCCTTAAACATTAAAGGATCATTAATTAGGAGAAACCCCTCCCCTAAAAATCTTTAGTTTTTTTAAGTATTTGATTTTATATGCCCTTCCTTCTGTTTTTTAAAGAATGTGGCATATGATTACACCATGTAATAAATTTAAAAAGGATTGTAATTTTACCAAATTTTGTTGATTTTCATTTATCTTATTTTTCAGAGTCCTTGTTTCTGATGTTGTAAAAATTGTGGTTCTTCAAAAATTCAGTACTGCTTTTATAACTTGTGTTGGTAGGTGTATAGTATTTGACCATATACTCCTTCAGTATTTTTATTATAAAATCTATCTTTTTACATAGAGGAAGGGAACATCATAATAGGAACTTCAAGAAGAAAAATAACAGCGGAGGGGAAATATGCTTAATCATGTGATCTGTGGAATATGAATTAGATTTTTATAAGTTGAAATAATTTGGTTAACATAGAGATGAGATTCAGAATAGATTCATATGACAGGTGATATTTTATGTTAATAGCAAGTACTTTGATTGTACTTTCTCTTGTAAAAGGACGACTTATATCTCAACTACAGAATCAACCTAACTAAATGATATTTGCCTTGATGTTAGTTTAAAAAAAAAAAAAGCTTTTCTCTTCAGAAACCCACCTTAGGGTTTAAACTAGTATTTTGTATGGTTTTTTTTTCTAAATTCTGTTTTCTCTACAGCAGTTTATTCTCATTAACAAATTATGTTTCCATCGTAAGAACATTTTAAAATAGTAGGAATTCTGTGATCTCTTGATTTCCTTCGTCTCACAGAAATCTTACCAGGCCCTATATGACTCAGGATTAAATCCTTAACATTTTAATGAAGTTGATATTCTTCAACGGAATTAGAAAAACAATCCGTAGAAAATGAAGCAGTCTCTATGTTTAAGGAGACAAGAAGAATGTTTTAGAAGATCTTTAGAAATTTACTTTGTCTCATAAAATTATATCTTAAGAAGTCCAGGGCTTACGCACATAGCAGCATATAGTTTCTGTTCTTGGTGAGGACATGTTTGTGCATGGACATTACCTTATAGATTTGGTTTGGGGAATTTG